ATGTTTACCTTACCATCATTTTGGAAATAATCATTAGTGCATTACTCCATCGTTTTTTCTTCTTTTTAAGATTATTTCCAAAAAAAAAAAAATTTTTTTTTATTTGGGTTTAACAATAAAAAAAACGGCTTTTTGTAGCGATTCAGAAAACCGGAAAAATCAGTTATCCGGAATAGCGATGGTCCCGATCGCTCTGGATAATCGGTTCCCTACTGTACAAAAGCAAATATTATTTTTCTTTTTTCCTGCAGAATTATATTCTAAAGATACTTTTCTTGTTCATTGGAAAGGAAGAAATACTCATGATTTTTCTGTTCTCATTTCAAAATAAAAAAATTTCGCCAATGACTGGCTTGCTTCAGCTAGAATTTTAAATTGATAAAATAAAATTTAAAAAAAAAAAAAAAATAATAATAACAAAAATTCTGAAATCACAGAAGTTTGAAACATAATTCGCTCTAGAAATGATGTTTCTTCTTTCAATTTTTGAAAGAACACCATAATTTTTAAAGAACACGATAAAAACATTTTATATTTTAATAAAATATGACTGTGAGTGAAAATTTTGTCACAAATTCAGAGCACCATGAAGTTGGGGTAAATTCGATTGCAAAAATGAGATTTTTCGACGATATAAATCCATGACTTTTTTTTAAAAAAAAAATAGTTAAAATTATGGCACTTCATGACAAATTTTGTTCAATACCGAAATTCATGACTTTCCAGGTGCACAGATACCCTATACATACATAAAAATAAATTATAAATGTTATATACATAAAAATAAATTATATGTTATATACATAAAAATAAAATTATAAATGTTACATACATAAAAACAATCTTGAAGTGAAAAAAGCAACATATGATAATCTTCAGAGCAAACCCACAAAAAAGTTGATAAAATGTTTCCTTAACAACAATAAATTTATTTCAAATAGATCTTGAACTAGTTTATATTTCTCCTATGTTATTTATTTTAAGATGAATACTTAAGGAATTCAAAGAATTTTAAATCAAAATCAAAGCATTGAAAAAAATATTATTTTAATGTTGGGGAAGGGACAATATAGATAAGTTACTACAGTTTTGCTATAGCAAGATTTAAAATTATCACACAGCGTAGGGTGTATATGTAATTTTATGTTTTCAAACAAAGAGAAAAGCTGATCTAATTCCTTAAAGGTGTAGTTGGCTTAAAATATTTATTCCAATATACCTAAGCATTTGATTTACAATCTAATTTGTGTGAAAAGATTATATAAGGAAAAAGATTTTTTTTAAGGGAACATTAAGAATCACAAAAATATTTTTTTTCTTCACAAAATTTAAAATTTTTGAGTTAAAAATTCATTACATTTGTAAAAAATATTTTTTTATTTGTTTAAATGCTACGATTTTAATCTTTTACAAAGAATTTAAGAATAAAGTTTATATGGAAACCAACTGGATAAGAAGAAATATGTTTTCCAGTAAAGTCTACTAAAAAAAGAATTGTAATAACAAGCTTCTTTATGAGCCTGTCACTGATTCATACAAAAAAAGGTATAATATTCAGTGCTGCACAGAAATAGTTAGCTGAAGAATAAAAATATAATGAGAGTTTTCATAATTGCATGAAATAATACTAACCTGTGAATCTAAAGTAACCTGTGATGACATGTCTGATTGTTCTACTGTTTCAGAATCACTCGCTAAGACATCAGTACTCCAAGTGTCACTAACCATAGACTTTGTTTCATCTCCTATAATAGTTATAAGCAAATAAATAAAAATATTTTTTTCACTAAAATTTTATAAAAAATTTTTTTTTTGAGTATTCATTTCTTTCAAATTCTTTAAATGGAAATAAGCTTTCAGTATTTGGTTGATAATTTAGAACGTTTTATTTTACTGCAATTTATATATTCAATGTTTTCATTCAATAACATAACTTGAATTTATTTATTAAAGCTGGAATTTATTTAATACTTGAATTTTTCAACATTTAGATTCATGATTGCTTGGATTTAGTAATTTACTATTACTCAAATTTACTTATTAGCACTTGAATTAAAAAAATGCTTGAATTTATTAAAACTTGAAGCAGTTGAATTTATTTATCACTCTAATTTATTCACAAATATTAACACTTGAATTTATTATTAATATTGAATTTATTTATGCATTTGAATTTATTTATAAAACTTGTATTTATTAATTAATACTAAAATTTATAAGCATTTCATTATTTAGAATAATTTTTTAACACTTATATTTAATCATATTTAAATTTATTAACAGTTGAATTTTATTTGTCAACAGTTGAATTTATTTATCAACAGTTGAATTTATTTATTAATAGTTGAATTTATTTATTAACAGTCAAATTTATTTATTAACAGTCAAATTTATTTATCAATAGTAGAATTTATTTATTAATACTTTAATAACATTAAAGCACTTTTTTACTCAAGACAACTGATGAGCCAATATTTTATAAGACTAATCTGAAACAAAGGTTGAAAACTGCAAATTTTTAAGATTTGTAATGAAATAAAGAAATCTACAAGACTCAGTGGGCTGTAGCTATATATAATTTTATTAATTCACTGTTATCTTAAAGATTTAGGACGTTCATAGCTTTAGGATCATTTTAGAGATATATAGGAAAGAGACTCCAAACTATCTGAAAATCTTTTTTTTTATAAACCTAAATTAAAATGATAAAATAAATATATGTAGTAAATTTGAAATAAATTTGCTTGAGCTACCTTCATTCATTGGCTGAATTTCAAATTTGCCAAATTTATCCTCAATGTCTTCTTGGTTTTGTTTTCTTGATGAGGCCATCAAATCTAGTGGTCTCTGTTCCCTTTCTTCCCCTTCCAATTGAGAGGATGGCGTGTCACGACCACTCACGTTTGGAGTACCTCTTCCACTAGAATATAAATTTTTAAGGAATTAAAAATATTTAGTCAATGGTTTTGCTGGTACTTATGAGTTTATTTTTAAATGTAAGAGTAATTATTAATGAGGACAAAAGTTTTAGGTAAAACAGTGCTATAAAATTAAGAATGAATTTAAAAAATATAAACTTTAATGTGACAAAAAAAAGCTACATTGATTCAAACACAAACAACAGTGTAATTAAAGTAACCAATTCAAAAAGTCAGAATCCACGCTAAGCATTCGGTGTGTTGCCAAATGCGATAAAATAGCAAATTCAGCAAAACAAATTACATTTTAACGAAAATATTGGTGGATGATTTTTTTACCAACAAGAAAAATATAGATTACTTTAGATTCTGAAAATTACATCAATATGATTTTTTTTCTGAACAAATCTTGCATTGCAGTAATTTCTGTTAGAACTGTCGCATAACTAATTAAAAATATTAAGTCCAGATAATGTGAGCAACAAGAGATATTATGCAAGTATAAAAAATACAGATTCGCTACTGTTCGTTACCAGATCACCCAATATCGTTTGACGAAACTCTTTCCTACAGTTTGTGTGAATTAAGTGGCAGCTAGATGCATATTATCATCCTATTTCAGTAGAAAATATGTTTTCTCATGACAATAGCATTGTTCATTAAAATAAACTTATTATAAAATTTAAAAACTAAAATAGTGTTTAAAGAAGGAAAATTTAACTTTATCTTTATAGCTTACCACTTTTCAATGATATATTATAACCAGCACTCGGTTGGCAATGAAAGTGTTAAACCACTGCCTAACTTTCGATAAAACCAATCTCTATGAGTAATACAAAAACCCATTATATAGCGATTCCTTTTTTCTGAATGATTACATCCCAACAATATAAGATAAACAAAACAGTAAAAATTCTTTTATTAAAAAATAAGACTTGAATGAAATGTTTATTTAAAATTAATATATACAATGAAATAATTTATTTAATATTTACATACATATCAAAAGAAATGTGTATTTGCAATCTTCACAGAAGAATAAATTTTATATAGATTTTAAAGTTTGATGATGTTTAATTTTATTAAACACTAAAAAAAAGGAAAGAAAAGAAAAATGCTCATTAGAAAAAATTTTGATTGACATTTAAAAATAAACTATTTTCTGATCTTTATAAATGTTTGAAATTATCTTAAGCTAATATTAAGTAAGACACAAAGAGGAAATACTTAAATTTTTGAAATCATTCTCATAAACCATTCTTTGCATAAGAGCTGAAAAGTTTACATTAAATAATGTAACACGGAACGATAAACAGAAACCCTGATTAACAAAGATTTTCAGAAATGTAAAATAGTAAGGTCAAAATTAGGCCTAGTCTAGGAGAATACAGACCAGTTGTAACATTCTTAATAATGGACACCTTTAAAAAAAAAAATTGAAAATTTTAAACAAATTAAAAAACTGTTGATATTAGTTTAAAGCATTTTTTAATATCATTTCTCAAAATATGGTAAACATTTATTTCTAAAATGAAGAAAAATTTTAGTCTACAAGCATGAAATAAATAGATTGATACCTGACATTTGCAGAGACCATATCTGAGAGATTATCATTTTCGTTTTCATTTTCTAAATCTAAAGAAGATGCAACAGAATGATTTGACGCTGCCTCAGAAATAGCTTCTAGATTATCACTAGTTCCTAAAAATAATTATATAAAACTGTAGCAAATAGTTTGAATAACTGTCAAAAACTACTGTATCTCAGCCCTCACCATGGCTGAGATAAAGAATTATACACAAAATAATTTAATGATATTCAGATAACATACTAAAAGTGTATCACAATGGCATAACAATTTCATTATGCTAAAATAAAAAATTGGTTATTAAAATTATTACTATAGATACACTTTCCAACAAAACTACAGAATTTTAGTACAAAAATGAAAATAAAGCTCTTATATAATGATGTAACCTAAAGCTCTTATATAATGTTGTAACTAATTGCAGTAAAAATGTCATCAACAAAAATCTTAGTAGAAAATAAGTAGTTTAATAACTGACACTTTATATACAGAGTGCGTAGCCAAATTTTTCAACAAAAAATAAGCACCTTTTAAGCATTTTCCAAGCACTCAAAAAATATTTTTAAGCACTATGAAAAATATCATAATTAGACAGGGTTGGCAAGTTTTTGACAATTGATGGTCTTATTTACAGTGATGAAGATGATGGCACGTAACAAACGATGAAATTAACAAGAAAAATGAAATTTTCTATGGCTAATAGAGAAAAAAATTGACAATGCTTAGTTGGGCCCCGTAATCAGCAAAAATTCGAGAGATTTTTTGATTCTATTACAGAGGGCGGAAAATGTCTGAAATTGAGAATCTCTTGCAAAATACAATAGGGTTGCACATGAGAGTCAAAAATCCTTACCACTGAATCCAGCTCAGTATACGAAAGTGTGGACCCCCAAGTGTTTCATCAAACATGTAAAACAAATGGTGTTTTTAGACACTACAGACCGTCGGTACACCGAAATAGAATGGGGTTGAATTAATTGTCAAAACGTTGAATAGGAAAACGTCTTTTTGCATAATTTGTGGTGAAAATCAACATGGTAAAGAAAAATATCACATTTCGGAAAAGGGAAAATTAAGTACTTTTTAAAAACAGCCATGGAAAAAAACACCTTTAAGGGCTTTCAAAAAACGAAAATAAGCACCTATAAGCACTTTTTAAAAACGGTTTGCATCCTGATATATAGATAATGTAATTGGGATTCCATAGCTAAAAAAATTGGCCAAACTAGATACTCAACTTTAGTTTAAAATTATTGTTAAGATTGTTAAACATCTACTAGCGCCAAAAAAAAAAGTTTACAAGTTTACTTCTGATTTAATTTCAAGAGTTTTGATTTAACATAGAATGATTACAATTTGAAAAAAAAAAATTTTTTTTGTCTTCTAAATTTAACCCTTTAATTAAGAGTTGAGCCCATAGATAAAATAACACAGAAATTTTCCTCTACATACTATTTTCCAATTCAACCAAACTGGAACTAGCGCTCACATGGCCAAAGAGGTATCACCCAGGGCTTGAATACTATACTGCCTGACATGCCCAAGGCCTTAATACCTATTTGTTAGAAATACTTCTGATTTATACTTAAAATTATTGATGCAGGAATAATATTGTCCTTCATTTGAATAAATTAATAATAGCCACATTCCTGGCAACAGAATAGCAGTGGTTGCTGTAGATAACCAATGCATTTCCAGATTAATTTTGCACTTTTCAAAAGATTTTATTTCAATACTATCATCTGCAAGTTTATCCTACTAAAAAATTTTCTTTTCTAATTTTTTCAGGTTGCTTAATGTGAACATTTGTTATTCCTTTTGGGCTCACCCATTAATTTTTAAACAATACCCTTTGCTTAAAACACCTCAACTTCTTTCTAATAAAAATTAAACTGTCAAAACACTGCATTGGACAAAAAGTAAAAAAAATAAATGTTATTTAGTGGTTTTTATGGTAAAGGGATTTATTCCATTCTTTGAATATCATACTATAAAATTTTCATTACATTTGAACAAAATAAAGTTTTTGCGCATAATTTTTAAATACCTTGCAGATTTTGCTATATCTATATCACAGAGCTTAGCCAAATCTTTCAACAAAAAATAAGCTCCTTTTAAGTACTTTTAAGTATTTTTAAGCACTAAATTAATATTATTAAGCACTATATACATTAACAAAATGCAAAATAGTTTTCAAAAATTTTTCATGATCATGATAAAATAATTAGTTTCTGATAAAGAACTCTTTTCTTGATTACATTAGCCACCATAAAAAGATCAAGTGGTTTTTTGGTTCCATTTCAGACGGTGGAAAATGAAGCCTGAAATTGAGAATATCTTGCAAAATGTAAGATGATTGATTGAATCCAAATCATCAAACACGTAAGATGATAGACGCTTCCTTACCTTACGTACCGGCGGTACGCCAAAATGCATAGTATTTGAATGAATTGTGAAAACGCTGAATAGAACAATGTGAAAACCACCCTTTTGCATAATATGTGGCAAAAATAGACATGATAAAAAAAAATCCCATTGTTGAAAAGGGAAAATTAAGCACTTTTCAAAACTACCCAATAAAAAAAGCACCTTTAAGGGCTTTTAAAAAATGAATATCGAAAACAAGCACTTTTCAAAAACGCTATGCACCATGTACACCCTTGTGCAAATTAATTGAAACAAACTTTTTTTCATGTTTTTTAAAGAAGATGTTTTGGGGTTGTTTCGGTTATGGACCTTTGCAGCCTATTGACGGTATGATGCGTTCTGAGCAGTACATTACTATTCTGGGTAAAAAAGTTGTTTCAGAGTTGAAGAAACGATACCCAGATGGAACAGGGATTTTTCAACAGGATTTAGCTCCTTGCCATACGTCCAAAATTGTCAAGAAATTCATGTCTGAGAATCAAATTGAGACATTGGAATGGCCAGGGAACTCTCCGGATATCAACCCAATTGAGAATCTCTGGGCCATATGCAA